GCAACAACGGGCACCCCGCTTCCTTTGTGGGCACTCCTCTCTGGGTACGGGCCCTCGTGGCGCCGTGTTTGTACGATGCAGTGGTCTAGGGAATGATATACACTGTAGTTCCTGAACAAACACGCTGTATTCCCTGATCACATCCACTGTATTTGTTAATCAGATACATACGCTAAACACTGTATTCCCTGACCAGATGCACGGTATTCCCTCTACACCGTGTGCCCTCGTTCGATTCACTGATTCCCTCGTCACACTTTATTCCCTGGTCAGGATCGCTATGTTCCCATATCAGATACACCGTATTCCTTGTGCTTTTGATTGTTATCCGTCATCAGCAACACCAATGCCTTCGCTCGTTTCACTGTATTCCCTCATCAAACACACTGAATTCCCTGGTCAGGATCACTGTATTTCCTCATTAGATACACCAAATCCCTTGTACTTTTCACTCAATTCCCTCATCACAGTCACTCTATTCCCTCATCAGATGCTGTACCCCGTGGAAGATAGTGCGATGTCCTACGTGGAATAAAGTGAATTGGACGAGGGAAAATCTGCTCACGGAATACAGCGTATCTCATCAGGGAATACAGTGAATCTGACGAGGGAATTCACGGTTATCTGATCAAGGAATGCAACGTATCTGATCAGGGCATACAGTGAATCTGACGAGGGAATACAGGGTATCTGATCAGGGAGTAAAGTTGTTTTTGACGAGGGATCACAGGGTATCTGATCAGGGAATACATCGTATCTGATCAGGGAATATAGCGAATCTGATCAGGGGGTACAGTGAATCGGACCAGGGCATACAGTGAATTGTAAAGGAAATACAGTGCATCTGACGAGGGAACACAGTATATCTGCTTAGGGAATTCAGTTGATCTTGACGAGGGGACACAGGACATCTGAGGAGGGAACACATCGTATCTGATTATCGTATACAGTGAATCTGATCAGGGGATACAGTGAATCCGACGATGAAATACAGTGAACTCGGGGAGGGTATAGAGTGAATCTGATGAGGGAATACAGTGGATTGGACCAGGTAGTACAGGGTATCGGCTCAGGAAATACAGCGTATCTGATCAGGGAATACAACGAATCTACTCAGCAACTACAGAGTATCTGATGAGGTACAGGGTATCTGATCAGGGAATATAGTGAATCTGATCAGGGAATGGAATGTATCTAACTAGGACATTCAGTGAATGAGACGAGGGAATACAGGGTATCTGATCAGGGAATGAAGTGAATATGACCAGGGAATGCAATGTATCTGACACGGGAATATAGTGAATTGACCAAGGGATTACAGTGATCTTCTTAGGGTATGCAATGTTTCTGCTTAGGGAATGCAATGAGTCTGACGAGGGAATACAGGTTATCTGATCAGGGAGTAAAGATGTTCCTGACGAGGGAGTACAGGGTATCTGACGAGGGGAGACAATGAAATGGGCGAGGGGAGACAGTGAATTGGGTGAGGAAGCACAGTGAATCTGATTAGGGAATGCAGTGAATTGGACGAGGATATACGGTTGTCTGCTCAGAGAATACGTACAGTGTAATTTTTCAGGAAATACAGTGAATCTGACGAAGGAATGCAGTGTATCTGATTAGGGAATACAGTGGACTGGACGAAGGAATACAGTGAATCTGATCAAGGAATACAGCGTATCTCCTCAGGGAATACAGCGTATCTGATTAGGGAATACAGTGTATCTGACGAGGTAATACAGGGCATCTAATCAGGGAATACAGTGGATCTGATCAGGGATTGCAGTGAATCTGACGTGCGAATACAACGTATCTGCTCAGGGAATACAGCGTATGTATGTAATCAGGGAATCCAGCGTGTCTCACGAAGGAATACAGTATATCTGCTCAAGGAATCAACCTAGTTGATTTGGTGTTAAAAGTGAATATGACGAGTGAACATGCGTGCTCCACCGGCCCTTGAGCCGTTGAGCCCCCGTGGGTGTGCGTTTCTCTGCACGCACTAGTCCGACCGGGGTGCCCGATGGGTTGCATGATAGCTGTGAGGCATGCCAACACAATGAGTCTTCGAAAGATAGACACCGCCCTGTAGAGAGTGTTCAACCTGATGGTTATCTGCTTCATCGACCCATGAGCCACTTAGCCCCCATGGGTGGCCGTTTCTCTGCACCAAGTGGTCCGATCGGGGTGCCCGATGGCTTGTATGATAGCTGTGAGCCGTTGCCGACACAATGAAAGTCTTCGGAAGACGGACACCGCCCTGTAGAGAGAATTCGACCTGATGGTTATCTGCTTCATCGATCACTGAGCCACTTAGCCCCCATGGGTGGCCGTTTCTCTGCACCCAGTGGTCCGATCGGGGTGTCCGATGGCTTGAATGATAGCTGTGAGCCGTTGCCGACACAATTTAAACCTCGGTCGGGCAAACAGCGCCCGGAAGGTAGAGTTTGGCCTGGTGGAGCAAATAAGCCTATCTGCTCCACCGGCCGTTCAGCCACCGAGCGTCCGTGCGTGGGTGTTCCTCTGCACCCACTGGTCTGATTGAGATGTCCGATGGCTTGAATGATAGCTCTGAGCCGTGCCAACACCGTGCAGTCAGAGTTAGGCGCGGTTCAGCTATATAACGGGAGGTATAGCGGAACAATTGACATTTACCCCCCCTGAGATGCTGCGGAACCCCCTCTGTTGACCATATCTCTACGGGAACAGATCGGATTGGAGTGTCCGATAGTTTGGAAGAACGGAATGGACCCTGCGGACACGACGCAATTGGTTTGAGACCAATTGGAGCTGTGTGGACGGAGGTTCGAGACGATTATACTCCTTCCTGACATGCTGCGGAACTCCCATTTTCAGCATATCGCTGCAGCCACAGGTCGGATTAGCTTCAAGTAGTATTTCAAATAGCTGTAGTCCATACCTACACGATGCAAGTGGTTTGAGGACGATAGGAGCTCTGTGGGTGGGTATCTGCTTGGTGGAGCATAGAAGAGGATACTCCACCGGTGGAGCAAATAGCATTGCAGATTGAAATATTGCAACAACTTCGAAAAATCCATACGGATGGATGTACAGAGAGGGAAAATCATTTGTGGCACGCATTTCGCTGATTGGTAATAAAAGACCGGAGCGAGAGCATGCTCAGTCCTCTCGAGGACGCGTGGCCAATGGTTTAACCACTAAGGCATGCAAAATATGAGTGCGCCCCTGTCCTCCAAGGCCGTATAATTTCTTAATAGATCGTTTCCATACAAATAAATCCTATCAAAATGGAGCACATTTCACGCACGGGGGTGGTACAATCCACGTAGCCCCTGGGAGTTTGCCTGTACCGCAGCCGACGGCACCGTAGCAGAGGTTGGAGGAGGGTTAGGGTTGGGGTTACGGAGGAGGGGGAGGGGGAGGGAGGGAGGGTGAAGGTGCTCAAGGCGTAAGCGCTCGAAGAAGCGGCTGTTTAGTCTTTATGAGGGAGGTGGTGGGGCTTGAGGAATAATGCAGAAGTACTAGACTACGCGCGGCAAATTGCAATTATGTACAGGTGTTACACTTGGCGAAAGTGATGCCGCCACCATAGGCCCATCGCCAGCAGGTCTCCGGTGTTTTCCCGGCTTGAGTAAGCTTGGAATGATGATGTGATGTTTGGTTATGGTGTGTCGTTTGTTGGTATTATTTCACCATATTCTCCGTCAACTCTTCTCAGCTATTGCGGGACGTGTGCGATTGGTGATTGTGGACGAGGAATAGAGAGTCGAGAGGATGGCCGCAAAAGAGACCACCCGCTTGCATCCTCTACCGCAGAGCTACTTATTGTACATAACGCTGTTTTTCGGGCATACTAAATTTCGACCACCGTTGGTGTGCCATGCCCACCAACGTCGTCCTGATAAGTTGTTTGGTGCTTGGAGAGGCCACACACGCGCACATGACCCTATGACCATGAGCGTACACAGTAATACTACTATTACTGCCCAAGGGCACACTCACAGGTTGTCTAATACGTGTTGGGCAACTTCATGTCTTCCGCACATCTGCGACGTCAATGCAGATACATTGGAACACTGTGCAATAGGCTCTCCCGCTTACCCCCGTATGCCGCAGGCTAACCCCCTGAATGAAGCTGTGTAATCAAGTCAACGGACGCTTTCCACGAGCGGGTCGTCACCATGAGGCGTGCTGTATCCTCGGCGACGCTTTTCCCCGACCTCTCGCCGTACCCCCGCCTGACGTCCGGAGATTTTTGCCATCGGAGGTGGGTTTTTGTCGCTTGGCAACGACGTTGTAAGACAAGCCGCCCCACGGTGTTTGCCATCGGGGTTGGGATTTCGTCACTTGGCAATGACGTTGTAAAACAAGCCGCCCCCCCCGGTGTTTGCCATCGGGATTGGGTTTTCGTCGCTTGGCAACGACGTTGTAAAAGAAGCCGCCCC